ACAAACTTATTCCACACATTTACATGATTTTCATTGGGAACTTAATTATCTATGCTATAAGAGCCTTGGCAGGCGCATCATCATACTATATGGTCTTGTCAGTTTATTATAAACTACATACAATAGGAGCCTTTTCACACCTCCCACCCTCCACTTCTCTTGTAAATAAAAAGCAGACCAAAGCTTATTGTTTTGTTTCACATTTTTCTTTGTTGTTTTTTCTTTGTTTTTCCTTTTGAAGCCATATTAAGTTGCTATTTTTCTTTATAATTTAGTTGTTTTCCCAAATTATATTCCTTTTGTTTGCTTTTCGTTCATAACTTCGTTACGTTGCCATATTTTCCTTCATTTTTTTACTGTTCATTGTTGCCAGCATTCTTTCATAATTTTCTTATAACTTTTCATATCTTTGTTGGGTTATTGTGCGTTTTTCATGTTTGCTCATACTACTAGATAATACTCTTAAGTTTTGCCTTTGTGTGGCTTTGGAATTTGTCGAGGCTGAAATATTTAGCGAGCGTTTTCGTTGACCACATTACGTATGCGCAGAGTGTGACCGCTTGCCGCATTGTTGTAAGTTGTTGTTGATGTTGATGTTGCCCCATCAATGTCTCAATTATTTGCCATTTGCCGTGTCCTTCGACAGCACAATGTAAACACAACCCGGACAATTTTCAACTAATTTATACAGCAAATTTGTGCGTATACAGAACATGAAAATTTATGCCATGAAACGCGCACTAGATCTTGCTAGGCGACATTTTTCCATCTACCAATGGTGACCGTTTGCAGCTACCCTTTTTTCAATTTTTATTGTTTATTTATTTGATGTGTGCAAATGGCCGGCACATTGTTTTTATTGTTATTATTATTGCTGCAAATAAACCCAATAGAGGGACGCACAAAAATTCCACACGTTGCGTTTATTTGTCGCTTTTGTTGTGAGCAGCTGATAAACGGGTATGCCAGCAATCTTATTCAATTTAACAGATGGCAAAACTATATTGTATAGTATAATGAAATGCGTTATTGGAATTAACGATTGAATAAATATAGCTTACTTTTATTTTGGTCCAAATATGTATCAGCGTAGATTCAACTTATTTACATTTCGGGATTTAAATAAAGTAATTATTGTATTCAGTTCTCGTTCTATTCTGCAAGCATTTCAATCTACATTTTATCCGCACTCATCTATGAATTTTTGATTTTTCATTCGCTATCGAGTATAACAAAATTATAACGACCATTATCTGAATTAAGTAATTATCACCTGTTTGGTGAGACATGTCCCAAATATTCGTAAAGAAGCATCTGCTGTTGAAGCATAAACCTAAACTTGAAGATTGACGAAATGTAATGAAAACTGAATTCTTTAAATTCTTAAGTTTATTTTCAATGGACATCCGTAATTATAATTACCGGGAACATTTCTAATCTAATCTAATTAAATTTGTAAATTCTGTAATTCGATAATAACTTGCTGTAGTAAATCAAATTTAAATTGAAAATATTCTGTAGTGTTCCCAATCGAATTTTTTTTTCAAACATACACCAATTATACATTTTTTTTAGGGAATCAGCCGTATTATCAGCGTCCTTCATTCTTGTTGTATTAGAGTCAAATAATTCTATATATATTTTTTCAAAAAACACCTCCTCATCAAGTCAATAACAAAACGAACTGCCTCCCAAGAGTATTTTATTTTCGGCCCAGCACTTACTATATTATGCCATTTGTCCCTTAAATGGCTAGAAATCGCTGACATAATCTCATGAAGGTCTAAACAATCAGTGCTATGAACCATAAGGCCAAAGAACAACACTGATGGGTCGGGTGTACAAGTATGTGAGGGAAAGCATAAGTTCGGGCGTTTGTGGGGCAACAACAACAAAATGTTGGCAAATTGTATGCTTGGAGAATTTTCACGCAAAATAAAATGCAATTATTTTAATAACATGAAATGAAAATTCAAAAATAAGTAATTCCGAAGCGGCAGCAACGATATTGTCCCTCCCAGACACCGCCCAGACCCCGCCCACTTGAACTCCAACGTCATTACATTGAATGGCGCTAAGATTTTTCAGTCAAATTTTTGCTTTATTTTATTTGTGTATTCTGTTATATTTTTCATGTTTTTTTCTTGAGAATTGCTCGGCAATTTTGTTTTTAGAATTAATTTATTTCCCGGCAATTTCTCTTCTTCGTGTTTTGTGTGCATTCATGTATAGTATGGTACGAGTATGTGAGGCAGTTTTTGTTTTATGTTAGCATTTTCTCTTGGCCAAACGTGCCGTAACGCACTATGCCTGTATGTATGTATTATATGTGTGTATGTTTGTGTATTTGTATTTATTCATGTATGTACTTGTATGTGTGTGAGCTTCGTTCTCTCTTCATGTTTCATGTATCTTTTGAGAATTTTATTTGCATATCATGCATTATTTATAGCCACCTAATATATTATTTACTTATGCTCTATCGCTAGTTGTGCACATGTTTTGGTTTGTTTTTGAAAACGAAAACAAATCACCTTTGCCAGGCAACGTCAGGAATAGCTGTGGGCTGCAGCCATTTCGAAGGACATGCATAATGGACGCACCATAATTTAATTAACGGTTTAATCCGCTTACTCGCGCTGCGGCCCAAAACAAAGCTTTGTGGTCACCGCGAAAATTGGAAGCCAAAGGTTTATTCCGAACAGATAATTGCAAAAGTGCTTTTATACATAAATGTGCAGGTGCAGCATGGAGAAATGTTGTAAGGAAAATTGAATTAGGCCAGGATATTTGAAAGGACACACAAACTGATTTAATAATGCAAACGGCAGGCTTGTTTCTGTTTTTAACAAGTATATTTATTTTTGGTGCCCACATGAATAGCGGTTTGGAAATTAAAATTACAGGACCTTTATCGAAATCAAAATATCGAATTAATGTAGAATCATTACTCAAATAGGTACAAAGATAAAGGCAAGATGTATCAAATTTGATTTAAAGAGTATGGTTAGTCTGTAATGATAGCCAATTAATATATTAGTAGAGAAAAAATATCAATTGTGTCTTTAAAAATATGAAACTTGTATTCAGAATATCAAATATTCAAAATATCACCACCAGAGAAATCAGAGAAATAACATTACTTTAATGGTACTTTTTTCATCGAGTGGAGAACAACTTTTTATTCGGTCTAGTTTTTTGGATCTTTGATAGTCTTTACATTAAAAAAATGCAGCCTTTTTATTTGAAAATGTTTGAAGAAAATACAGCTTTTACTATGTTTGCTTTCGAATTTTATTTAATTCATTCTTCAAAATTGCAAAACATTTATATTCGGTTTGGCAAACTACGACCACATTTTGAAATTTACAAAAATATATTTTCCTCTACTAGCTGGTTCATTATAAATTCCTATTCATAGTTTTTTTTTTTTTTTTTTTGGCATTTCATTTAGCAAAGTCAATCTTTCATTTAAATTTTCATGCAATCTACGAGTATGTTCATTTTTTAGCACATTGCATTTTAAAAAACATTGGACTGAGCGTTAAAAGTTGTTTTAAATTCCATTTATGTACACCAGTGTAATGTGCTTGCATGCGTTGCATTCCAAAAATAACACAAGAGCCACAGCTAAACAAATAATAATAGTTAACTGAAACTTCTTTAGCCTTAAGCGTATCAAAACACTGCCCCACTCGACCCGACCACTCGTCCATACATCTCACACACCCACACACGCACACACACTAACCAAGCAGGCGCCACTTAACAATAACATGAGGATGCCAAATAACCTCACACCTTCAAGAGACCACGTTACACGAAAAGCCGCACACGCACGAAACCACCCACTTACCACCCACCACCCCCCTTTGGGCCACATAGACAGACAAAAGAACATAATCTGCCCAGTACCCCTGCCCCGCGACGACCTTGCCCCAAACTCCCTGTTTGCGTGCATAGGATGTGCAAATTTTGTAAAGTTAAAGCTCAAATGAAACACTCTGGCTTTCTCTTTCTTTCTCTTTCTCCTCGCCTCTATCTCTCGCCCTCTCTTGACTCACCTGTGCAACGTTCTGCAGAGCAACTTTGCCATTGAATGACACCAAAGATTTACTCGGTATCGAGTGCAGCTGCGCGCACAACGGCGGCAATGGCGGTGGCGGAGGCGGTGGCGGTGGCAGTGGCAGCAGCAGTGTTGGCACCACCGGCGGTACTGGCGGTGGCGCCAACGGTGCCACAACAAACGGCAGTGGCGTCAACAGCAGCAGCAGCAGCAGCAACAATAGCAGCCATCACCATTACCATCATCAACAGCAGCAGCAACAACCACAACATCTACAGCAACAACATCATCATCATCATCATCACACCCACAATCAGCAACAACAACAACAACAACAACAGCACCACCATCACCACCAAACCGCACTGACTTCGTCCATCAGCAGCAGCAATGCCTTGTCCTCGTCAGCATCGGTGGCGGCGGCGTCTGTGACTGCAACCACAGCTATAAGCAACTCCTCCAGTCTGATGACCACATCCGCCTCGCTAGCGTCGATGCCTGGTCTGAGTGCCTATTTGGGGCTCTCGAACTTGCGCACCACAAGCATTGGTGATGGCAACGAGGAGCAGGACGCCGATTTGAACATTGCATCGACTTCTGCTGCTGCTGCCGCTGCCACTGCCACTGTTGCGAGTTCTGGTTCCACTGCCGCCGCTGCTGGCTGTTCCGCCTCCGCTGCACACTATTTGCGCCACAGCAGCAATTATCGGTCGGCGGCGGCCGCCGCCTCGTCAGCTGCTGCCCAACAGCAGCAGCAACAACAACTACAACAGCAACATCTACAGGCGACGTCGGCCTCAGCCGGTGCGAATGCAGCGCCGTCGGCCAATGGCCATGGCCATGGTCATTTGCTTTCATCCAGCACCAACTCATCCGCCGCATCCTCTTCATCAGCATCGTTTTATAATCGCCTCCTACTACTCGATAATTCCAGCTGTAATAGCCGCGGTGGCGATGCCGTTGGCGGCAGTGGCGGCAACAGCGGTGGCGGCGGCGGCGGCGGTGGCGGTGCTAGCAGCGGTAGCAACGGCTTAGACAAGCATGACTCCTCCGTTATCACGCCTACGGCGATCTCACAGTCAGCTGGCGATGGCTTCTTGCATTCCAACTGTGCCTCGACGAGTGCTGAGGCGGCTGCAGCCTCCTCGGGTGTGGCAAACAACTATTCGCAGTACTATCGGGCATTTAGGGACAGCGAGGTACCGGCCGAGTCGCCCGGAGCGACAGACCCGAAGGCAACAAGCGGCGGCACCACCAACCACAACACCTGTGATTATCGGCGTGAGAGCAACTTGGTAAGATCAAATTAACGAGCAATATCTGAACATTTCCCAAATCTCTCCTCTTCCTATCTTCCTCCCATTTTACTTATCCATTACATTATGTTCTGTAACGTAATTCTTTTATTATTGGAATGGTAACTACTATCTAATAACCACTGCCCTCTCTTTGGTTATTAATTTCTGTGTTCATCACTATTATTTCCTCTCTACGAGTACCTCTCCCTGTTTTCCATTCTATCTGTTAGATTTCCCCACCTTTTATTCTTATATATCTCTCTATCTCTCTTTATATCTATTTCTCTCTACGAGTACCTCTCCCTGTTTTCCATTCTATCTGTTAGATTTTCCCACCTTTTATTCTTATATGTCTCTCTATCTCTCTTTATATCTATTTCTCTCTACGAGTACCTCTCCCTGTTTTCCATTCTATCTGTTAGATTTCCCCACCTTTTATTCTTATATATCTCTCTATCTCTCTTTATATATATTTCTCTCTACGAGTATCTCTCCCTGTTTTCCATTCTATCTGTTAGATTTCCCCACCTTTTATTCTTATATATCTCTCTATCTCTCTTTATATATATTTCTCTCTACGAGTATCTCTCCCTGTTTTCCATTCTATCTGTTAGATTTCCCCACCTTTTATTCTTATATGTCTCTCTATCTCTCGTTATATCAATTTCTCTCTACGAGTATCTCTCCCTGTTTTCTATTATATCTGTTAGATTCCCCCCACCTTTTATTCTTATATATCTCTCTATCTCTCTTTATATCTATTTCTCTCTACGAGTACCTCTCCCTGTTTTCCATTCTATCTGTTAGATTTTCCCACCTTTTATTCTTATATGTCTCTCTATCTCTCTTTATATCTATTTCTCTCTACGAGTATCTCTCCCTGTTTTCCATTCTATCTGTTAGATTTCCCCACCTTTTATTCTTATATATCTCTCTATCTCTCTTTATATATATTTCTCTCTACGAGTATCTCTCCCTGTTTTCCATTCTATCTGTTAGATTTTCCCACCTTTTATTCTTATATATCTCTCTATCTCTCTTTATATCATTTCCTCTCTACGAGAATCTCTCCCTGTTTTCCATTCTATCTGTTAGATTTCCCCACCTTTTGTTCTTATATGTCTCTCTATCTCTCTTTATATCATTTCCTCTCTAAGAGTATCTTTCCCTGTTTTCCATTCTATCTGTTAGATTTCCCCACCTTTTATTCTTATATGTCTCTCTATCTCTCGTAATATATATTTCTCTCTACGAGTATCTCTCCCTGTTTTCCATTCTATCTGTTAGATTTCCCCACCTTTTATTCTTATATGTCTCTCTATCTCTCGTAATATATATTTCTCTCTACGAGTATCTCTCCCTGTTTTCTATTATATCTGTTAGATTCCCCCCACCTTTTATTCTTATATATCTCTCTATCTCTCTTTATATCTATTTCTCTCTTCGATTATCTCTCCCTGTTTTCCATTCTATCTATTAAATTTTCCCACCTTTTATTCTTTCAAGTTCCTTTTCCGCTATAATTTCTTCCTTATCACCATTGCTTTCTCATACTCTTGATTCTACGTATATATCTCAGTATCTCTAACAATTCCTTTCTCTATCACTTCTTCTCTTAACAAATTTTATGTTTTCTTTGTTTAGAACGGGCTTGAGGACTCTCCACGCCGCCATAGCTCCATGGATCAACTCATTGGCATGCTGAATGACATTGGCAAGTCGCCGCGAACGCGCAGTCTCAGCGATGGCGGCACGCAGGACGAAGATGAGCGTAAGTCTTCAGCAATCGGTTAACTCAACTATCCGATAATCTGTTCCATTTTCTTTGCCATACAGTGGAGAAAGAGGCTCAGCCCGACCTGCTGAACAATACCCCGCCAGTGCCACCAAAGCGCTCACATCGGCGTCGCCATACGCCGCCGCGTCCCATTTCCAATGGACTGCCACCGACGCCAAAGGTGCACATGGGCGCCTGTTTCTCCAAGATCTTCAATGGGTGTCCGTTGCGCGTGCATTGCACAGCTTCGTGGATACACCCGGAGACGCGCGACCAGCACTTGCTGATTGGAGCCGAGGAGGGCATCTACAACCTCAACATGAACGAGTTGCACGATGCGGCTATCGATCAGATGTTCCCGCGTCGCACCACCTGGCTGTATGTGATCAAGGATGTGTTGATGAGTCTGTCGGGTAAGTGGCCATGTGTTAGCTCTACTTTGAGCTTCTGACTTATTCGCATCTCTCCCTTTGTGCAGGCAAGTCCTGTCAGCTCTATCGGCATGATCTGGTGGCGCTGCACTCCAAGCAGACCGTGCGCTTCTCACTGCACATGAACAAGATTCCCGAACGGCTGGTGCCGCGCAAGTTCGCGCTGACCACGAAGGTGCCCGATACCAAGGGCTGCACGCAATGCTGCGTGACACGAAATCCGTACAATGGTTACAAGTACCTGTGCGGTGCCACGCCCAGCGGCATATTCTTGATGCAGTGGTACGATCCACTGAACAAGTTCATGCTGCTCAAGCAGTGCGACTGGCCAGCAATGAGCATCCTGGGAGGAGGCCATGGCTGCGTCCAGAATGGACATACGCCCGTCTTTGAGATGATCATCACGCCGGAGCTGGAGTATCCGATTGTGTGCACGGGTGTGCGCAAGGCACTCAATGGTTGCCTCAAGCTGGAACTCATCAACATGAACAGTATTGGCTCTTTGAATATATATCTCAAGCTCAGCTTCTCATTACCTTTTTCGATCTCCTGTGCAGGTGCCAGCTGGTTCCATTCAGAGGATCAGGATTATGATGCAATGGCCACCATTGTGCCACGTCGCGAACTCCTCAAGGTGGTGCGCGTCCATCAGGTCGAGAAGGATGCCATACTCGTGTGCTACGGAAATGTGATGCAGGTGGTGACGTTGCAGGGGAATCCCAAGCAGCACAAGAAGATGGTGGCGCAGTTGAACTTTGACTTCAATGTGGACAGTATTGGTGAGTACCACAATCAGTCACGAAGAGCAGGTTTAAATTTATTTATTTATTATTATATTTGTCAACATAAAACTTTATATAAAGATTATTAAAAAAAAACCTTATGAACTAGGAAAGCCTGAAGGGAAATCTAATCAAATTACAATAGTATCTAATAAACGCCTGGAAAAAAAAATTGATGTTACTTTCCATAAAACATTTTCCTTTACGTATATTATTAATTGGATATTAGTGCTGAAATTTGTGTATCAGATTTTTTAAGAAAATTACAAAAATCTGATACATAAGAAAAACAAAACAACAAATTCGTCCTTGCTCGGACTATGGATCATCTCATTGTCAGATTTTGTTATTCTATCTCTTGTACTTTCTGATAGCCTTGCCTATATCGACTTGTCTTGTCATCCTGAACAAGAATATACATATACTTGTACTACCAGAATAACTTTAAGAATCTACTATACATTTAGAGATAATTTGAGATATTTCGAGGGAGACTTAGATGTCTTTTTTTTTAAATTTAAGAATTTTATTCGAGCGTTCCACACATTTTATTTTATTTCTATTACTTTTTTTTAAAGTCCTTTCACTTATACAAGTATATTGAACTTTTTATCAAAATGATTTGTTGACACATTTGTTTTCGATTTGGGATTTGACGTCTCGATTTTCACTAGTATTTCCCGATAACTTTCAAATGCAAAACGAGAATTTTCCGAAATAGACAAAATGGATCCGCATCACAGAGTCTACAATGGAATTGAAATCGGGGCTGAAAATGCGTATTCCCGTTTACAGAAAGTGTTTTGAACAAACAGAAAAATAGACATTAATATGTAGCATACTCAATCCTCAAACTCTAACCGATTTCTCTTTATATATGTATAGTTTGTTTACCGGACAGTGTATTAGCATTCCATAAGCACGGCATGCAGGGCAAGTCGCTGCGCAACGGCGAAGTAACGCAGGAGATTAAAGACATGAGTCGCACGTATCGTCTGCTGGGCAGTGATAAGTAAGTGTATATGGAAATTTGTTAAATTCTTGAATAACCTATAGAATGGGAAAATCAATCCCTTTCTCCTGCAGGGTTGTCGCCTTGGAGAGCCAACTGCTTCGCACTGGCTCGCTGGGCAGCGAAGAAGGACACGATTTGTACATTTTAGCCGGCCACGAGGCCAGTTACTAGGCGCTATGTTTAAGTAATGAAATTGTTATATTTTAAATATAATTCGGTACACAATAAATTTTAAATTTGCAAGCGATGTCGTCATCGGGCATCATCCTACGACTCAAACACACATACACAAACGCAACTATTAACTGTAATTTAATTACTTGTAGGTCTAAGCGTATTTCGCAATTAGCAGTCAGTAAACGGATAAACTTTGAAGGCAACATAGCGCAATTTATTGTAGAAGGCAACAAGCGAACTAGAGAAGCGTTGAAAATATGTGTAACTGTAATTTCGCTTTTTGCTGTATTTAATGAAAATTCGCCACCTAAAAAAATAGCACTTTAATAAGTACGTTAATTGCAATTCCGTTTCGTTATAATTAGTTTTGTATGAGAAGAAATGCTTTAATTTATTTCTAAACTTAAAAGTCTACAATTATTTAAATACGAATTTTTACTAAGAACGCCGCAAAGCCAACAAATAAGTTTCAAAAACAACAATTAGCTACAATAAATTATAAGCAAAACACTTAACAAATAAAATAAAATGCATGAAATTACGTATAAGAAATTAGTAATTATACTATATTTGATAGTTTTTAGCAATTGTATAAATCGAAAAGGCAACCGTTTGATGGCATATGAATGTGTTTGGAAAATGTTTTCATAGCTTTTGAAAAAAAGGATGCAGGCTATTGGCTCAAAATCTACTCGTATAGAAAAAAAAAACTGAATTGAAAAACTGATGAAAGTGCGTTAAATTACAACCGAAATGGTTTGTTGGGAAACAAAAAAGTAGAGTAAGACTTTTCTAAAAACTAATAAGTGAGAGATTAAGCGGAAACGATAATGCAAATTGTAAATGGCTGCAATATGGTCTGTGCATTGAAACTGATTGTCATAGGTAAGGTAAGAAGATAAAAAACAAAATAATTTTCCGAACGGCACATTTTCGCGTCTTGAGTTGTAAAAATATATTTTAAATTAGGTTTTAAGTTAATTAGCTCGTATACAAAGAAAAAGCGTGAAACCGAAAATTAAATTATTAAAAAAAAAACTTGTTGAACTTTAGTTTAGTGCAAATAAAAAGATTTCAAATGAAATGTACAAAGTGACTTTTAAATTACATTTAAATTTGCGCGCCAAGAATCAATGCTGGGTAGCACTACATAGTGCTGCCCAGCGAACCGAGAACAGAGCTGCCAACTTGTCAGACTGTCATTTGTTATTGTGCGAGGTGCAAGTGCACGTGTGGGCTCTGAATTTGTTTTTAATCAATATTTTAAAATAAAATCGACAATATGAGCGCGTTTGCTGTTCCGCCTTGGGAGAAAGGCGCTGAGGTCATCGAGTTCAAGCCCGTGCATGAAGCCAACAGTAATGGTACGGCCAAAAAACCCAAGAAGAAAAAACCAAAGAAACAAAAGCAGAAGAAAACAAATCCATCGGAAAAACCGTCAAACACCGGCTACAGAGTGGGCAAGGGGCCTTTGGCCCCGCCAACCACCGACTCCTCGGACGATGATGTGGACGAAGATATGCGCGCGATGCACAAAGTGAAAAGTGGGCGGATAGAGAAGCAGCGACCACCACCAGCGGCAAAGACCAACAAGAAGCTGACACTAAAGCCAGAGCTGGCCCAGGCTGCGCTCGAGGCCATGGACACGGGGCCTGCACCAGTGACGACCTTAAGCAGTAAACTGCAATCAGAGCTGCTGGGAGGACGGTTTCGATACATTAATGAGCAGCTCTATACAATGGATAGCGGCAAGGCGGAGGCACTGTTTCGCAACGAGAGCGGCGCTTTTGAAGCCTACCATGCCGGCTATCGGCAGCAGGTGGAGAAATGGCCTGCGAATCCGCTTCAGCGCATCATCAAGACTCTCAAGCGATTGCCCAAAACAGCCATTATCGGCGACTTTGGTTGCGGAGATGGAAAACTTGCGAAGTCGCTGCCCAATAAAGTGTACTCCATGGACCTGGTCTCCACTCGAGCTGACATCATTGCCTGCAACATAACCGCCACTCCCCTGCAAGCGCAATCTCTGGATGTGGCCGTCTATTGCCTGTCGCTGATGGGCACCAATCTAAACGACTATCTCTTGGAAGCGAATCGCGTACTCAAGCTGCATGGAAATGTCTACATAGCTGAAATTCAATCCCGCTTCGAGGACGTGCGCGAATTTGTGCGCTCCATGAGTGCCTGCGGCTTTGACCTAATCAAAAAGGATGTAGCTGTTAACTTCTTTTACTTCTTCCACTTCAAGAAGATGCGCCATGTGGGCAAGGTGGCCAAGTTAAAGCCGTTCTCGTTGAAGCCTTGTCTATACCGTAAGCGGTAGAGGAGATATATTTGTACATTAAATAAATGTAGAGGATTCAAACAAAAACAAGCCAAAACTTTCTGATTTGCAATAACTCTAAAATCTGGACTGACTGGTTGATAATCACCTCCTGTCCATCGCTATGAACTAGGAAGTTGAAATTTAAGCGAAAAACTTCATTTTTCATGTGAGTATTCGAGAGTGGTTTGAGAATTAGAGCTCCAAGAGGACCGATCCATTTCAAAATTGGTTTGTGTTCATCATATAAAACAAGCCCTTTAATTTCCGAAATCATTTGGTTATTCCATAAATTAAATAAATGCTTGCGGTTTGCAAAATAGAATACGATTGACTGATGCTTCAATACCCACAATCTACTTTTAATTGAAAACACCAAAATGTGCTTTTAGAAGCTATATTGATAGCGAATAAATTAAATTTTTAGTTGTACAACTTGATCATGTTCATGCCTGGGCTTATGGGAAATATAGAATTTCTCTCTAAAAGAAGTCTTTAAATTCTTAATAGGTGAATTCAACAAAAGAATTTACTAAGGTTAATTTTAAATTGTACTTAAAAAACGTGCCGTTACCATCAAGCAAATACACGAACCAAACTGGTAGCACTGGCGCATCAGCTATCTCGTGACATATCACCCAACTCGCGTGCCATATCGGTCGGCTTTATTTCGAGAAAGACAGAAATACTCAAGTGGAATGTATGGTAAAGGCATGTCACCTCATCATAGAGCGAAGCTCACCATTTTGTATTTGCGATGGTGAATTTATATGGCAGTGCTACCACTTCATTTGAAACTTTTCGCTGAGCCACTCGCTTTGGTGGTTGGCCGTTGCTATGTGCTCAGTACCAGTTTGCTCTTCTCGCGTAGCATTTCGAATATTTTAGACACGGTATGTTCACGTCTTAGTTCCTCGGAACAATTCATACCAACAAAAAAAAGGCTGAAAATTGCCACAATTCTCAAACATCTGTGGCTACGAATCGTCGCAGAAAAAGCGCGCAAATTTGTGTTACAAAAATAACAAAAATATAAATAATTCGACAAAACTTGTGCAATTCTAGAACACGCCCACACCTTATATTCCCGCATACCCGCTCTCCCTTCCCTCGTCTATAAGCTCTATTACTCACTCAACGTAAATTTTCAACAGGTATTCAACGACGACAACCGACAACAACAACATCTTCGACAACAACAAATTGTCTTTTTTCGCGTTCTATAGAAAAAAGTGGCCAAGAATTTGTTTATATATGTATGTATGTGTTTGTGTATAACGAAATCGAATAGAGTTCTTTGTGAAAAGTGAAAACAACTGTAAATTATTGCACACACACAGACCCGCACATATACACACAGAGGAAAAGCGCCGCAAAGTATTCTACAACCTGCTCTCCCTTGCGGATTACAAACAAAATCGTAAAACGTAAGTAATGCAAAAAGTGCAGTTATTATATTTTTATATATGTATAGTATAATCATATCTACATATGTATGTGTATATAGCTGAGAGTGCAAGAAAAAAAGCAACAAATGCGGGCACACATTTTTACACTCAAGTAACTTAATTTAGTTTTTGGGCTGTGGTCAGAGTTTTTCGTTTTCGGCCTGCCTGTCTTGCCTCGTCTTCTCCATCACGCATTTTATGTTTTTGGCACGCACACAAGCGCACAGTATGACTTCATAGCTGCCACATACAGATACACAACAATAAATTCAAGAAAACTTTTTTCTGCTCTCTCATAACAAATCCATTATACAAAATGCTCGCTCTCTCCCACTCTCTTTCTCGCTCCCTAACTCAGCCACACCGTGCTTTTTGACTTTCGGTGTCAATGTGTGCGAGTGTATGAGTATGGGTGAGAGAGAGAACAATTTTTGTTGTTGTTGCTGCTATTGTAGCATTTTAGCCATGGGTTGTACGTGTGTGTGTGTGTGCTCTGAAGCTTTTCGAGTATCTTTCAGTTCAACGTTTCGCTTGCCTTCTTTCCCCAATTGTTGTCGACTCTCGTACGCCCAACCTTGTTGTTCTTTTTTCTTGCCACATTCGCTCTACTATTTTTCTTTTGCCGAATTTTGTGTTTTTCTCACATGCTTCGCATTTTATTTTGCCGCCTATCCGACAGACACAAATCCAGAAGGGACACAGAAAGAGAGTTAGAGATGGAGAGAGAGTGAGAGAGGGAGGGTCGCTCGCCCCTGTCTCCTGAATATTTTGATAAATGAGCCAAATGCCTATTGGCATGCGAAGGCGATTTTGTGTTTGGCGCGTAGCTACGGCAACGCACACATACGTACATACATACATACACAGACACAAAATTATATTCACACATACAAAGCAATGCTGATCGGAAAACGTATCAGCAAGGATGTTGCTAAATCATCTCTCAGATTTTCTTTTTGGGGTGGCACAAACGAAGGCGTCTGTAATATTGTTTGCTTAATCGAATTCGCTTGCTCGCTCGATGACGACGACGTCATTGTGACAAAAATAAAGCAAACATACATACATATGTCATGTATGTATGTACGTACCTATGTACATACATAGGTGTGTGTGTGTAGAACGCTGTCATGGAAATTGATCGCTATAGCAGGTTGTTCCTTTTATCAGCCAGTCTACACATTTACAAATACGTATCTCTCTGTACGAGTATATCGTGCGTACGTATGTATGTGGTAGCAGATATGGGAAGCTTAATAGCCTTGGTGAGTAGGTCTGACAAATTTCGCAGAAGGTACGAAATGATAACAGGCTCTGGTATTTCAATATCGATGGTGTGTGTGTATTTGTCAGATAAGTCGGCCAAAACAAAGGTTGCGGAAATATGTAGCATGCATTGCCCATCTATATTTATTTAAGTTGTGAATGGCAGGTGATTGTACACATACTACGTATGTACATACATATATACACACAAACATATATCTATATGGCCATCACAGACATATGGCGGCAGTCATGCGTCATCGCAGCCCCTGGCTAAGGCTAATTGTTGCAACAAATCAACGCGGGGCGTCTCCAACTCATTCCGGGTGTGAACGTGGAAGGGAAAAGCGCATAGAAAGCGGCAGGTTGGGCGCTATTGAAAAGGGGCGTGCGTGTGCCCAGAAACTTTGACCCAAATACTATAACTAAGCAAACAGCTAGCAGGAAGAAAAACAAGAAAAAACACATTAGCATAAAAACTTCTTGACAAGCCAGCAAAGAAAACTAAACGTAGTTGCCACCATCCATAATTTGTTTTGTTGTTGTTGTTTTGCTGTTGCCATTGCTGTTGGTGTTGTTGCATTAGAAACCGGTCTTGGTGTTGTGTGCGCCAGTAGCTCAAGAAGTTGGCCAAAGAGCAGACAAACAAATAAACCAAATGAGCAAAGCAAACGCAGCTCAGCTCAGCGCAGCACAGCACAGCGCTCGAGGAGTGGCAACAACTAAATGCTAATAACTGTACATCAGAAAACTAAATACGAAACACAAAATGAACAAATAAACGAATGTTGGAGGCAGAAAATTATAATAAAATAGACGAATAAAACGAAACAGTTGCCGAGAGTGCGAGAAGCAAACAAAAGCGGTCTAGCAAACGACTTGGTAGCACGCAAAGCGCTCTAAACTTCCAGCCAGCTAGCCAGAAAGCCAGTCAATTGTCCAAACACGGCCAAACACACACGCGGCTCAAGCCCCAACAAAACGAGAGCTGCAGAGAGCGGGAGAGCGGCAGAACAAGCGACCGAGCGAGCGTGAAAATCTGAAAACCTGAAATCGTTAAGAGCTACATGGCTGGCCAATAAACAAGGTGTGCCGCTATTTGGCATTAGAAGAGACAGACAGAGAGCTGATGAGTGACAGTCTGAGAGAGAGCCAAATGATGAAGAGAGCGCCCGAGGGGCTCGCTAAGCCAGGTTTGGATAAAATTGGGGCCACGGAAGCAACAAATGCGCGCTGCCAGATTGCGCGTTTTTTTTTTGTATTCGTCTAAGCCGCTGTTTTTCATTCGACAACCGCAAACCGTTTCCACGAGTGCTTCATAAAGAAAAACATAATTGAACAATGACTCGGCCTTTTTCTCTTCGGCCACTTGTTGGAATCTAATAATTAGGTTTTTCTTATTAGATGTGAAGTCGTTTTTTTTATTACAACAATTATTTCACAGTGGTCTGTGCAGAAAAACGGAAAAACAAGCATTGTGTTTTGAGAATTTCAATCTTAACACTTTATTGCAATAATTGACCTCTAAGCGGTGTGAGAGAGAAATGTTGGCAAATAGTTATATAGAGAAAAATACAGCTCCAATAAGAATAATCGAGACAGTCCTGTTTAGTGATAATCTTACTAATAGTGATCAGGAGAAATAGCTGATATTTAAAAGAAGGCACATTTAAATGCACAAAAGCTTGAAAGTAAATTTCGTTTTCGAAAGGGACGATGTGGATTATAAATCAGTTGAATGATCTATTCATTACCAAACCTATCAATGGGACTATATGGAGCTTAAGTTGAACCGATGCATAAACATGTTTTCTTACAAATGTGATATTATTTTTTCAAACGATAAATAATTATCTTATAACTCTCAAGATGTTTCTTTACGGTTGGGTGTTGCAATTATGAATGGTTAGCATATATTTAGAAAATATTTTTTTATATGACTGGAGGTAATTAGCAGAAAAACTAATATGAAATTGGTTTCAAGAATTTTTTATTTTCAAAAAGAGTATTTTCAGGTTTTACATAATTTCAAATCCATCCCAAATAGTGCTAAGATATTGTTTGGCTCCTCCTTTAATTTACATCACTATGGTGGCCCATTTAGTAAATGTTTCTCATTTGTGTACCGAGGAATGTTCTCTTTGGTGTTTAACTTCTTCTCAAACAGTCGTCTTACCCGAGGGTTAAGGCTGTAGCGTAAATCAAATAGCATAATTAATATGGCATGGTCAAAAAAATTAAATAGCATATTTACTCAAGATGTTGACAATTTGAAACAACGTCATAGTTTTTTTGGCCCAGTTTTTGGGCAAGGGTTCCAAACCCTTTAGACTCTTTTGAGCCATAATATTTTTTAAGCTTATAAATAAGCTGATAAGTGATCGTTTCGTTCATAGAGGAAGCCTTTCCTGAGCTATAAAAAGACAAAGGAGCACCGATTTATAATTTGCTTTATTTAATAAAAAGACAAGCACTATGTCTAAATTAAATTTAAGCTAAATAGCTTTAGTGAAAATGAATTCACCGAAATATAAAAACATGTATTTATTAAGCTGAAATCTCAAGAATACCTAGTCCAGTTTTGGAAGATGGAAGGACACTTTCTTAATAGAAATAGCATAATTTTGTTGAGTTAATGGTACATATGTGTATACTGAGTGATAATTGAGGGCAGCTCCCTGGTCCATTAATAGAAATATATGAATATTGGTTTGCTTCAGCGCTTACTTAAGTAACTTGAAATTTATGAGCCATCCAACACGAACTTCCAATCACTGCTGTGCCCCTCCAATTTGCCTGCCTCTGATGACTAGGTGACTATTTTTGGATTGGAAACATTTCCAACCACCACCTTCTCGACACTCAACTTATCATTCAATCTGTCAACAATATTCAATCAGGCACTCACAGCTTTCCCGGCCTGGTCCTTTTCTCCCGTCGCACACTTCCATATACTTACTATTTTCTATTTTTATTTGATGTCGCATCGATTTTTATTGCTGCCGTGTGGCGCACGCAGTCGCCTGCCCCTATAAGGGCTATGATTTATGTGTGCATGGAGGCCGGGATGAAGTTGTTCCTACACAGTTGTCTGTTGTTGTTACTGTTGTTGTTGTTGCTGCTGCTTTTGTTGTCGCCACAATTCGGTTTGTTTATTGACAATTTTCTACACCCCCCATGCAACACCTATGCAAAATATTTTCCAATATTCGTCGCATGGTGGTTCAAGCATTGTTTTATTTTTAATTCGAAACATTAGGAAAGTGTGTTAGCTCTCTGGGAAGGCGAAATAAGTTGCACGTATATTCAATGCTTTTATTTGAAGTTTCACGCTTCAATTTACATTTATAGTTGATTTCAGGCTTAGAGTTAGACTCAGAAAGTTGGTTTGGATTAGGGATGTAAGTCGAAAGGGAAAACTTTGATGTTGATGTATGTACATCGATGTCTCTTTATAAAAAATCGATGCATTGTCGATGCATCGCAAAAAAACACGCATCGGTGTTTTGAAAAATTAACTTTCCATAGAAAAAAAGCTAATATTAGCCAGAAAATCAACAGAGACGTTTAAAATAAAAAATGTTTATAAATATATGTATTTTACTTAAGGTTGTTAATCAATATATTGACTTTTGATGAACTTGTATTATATACGAAAAAATGAAGATCAAATGTTTAACAATTTAAAATTTATATTACAAAACACACAATTG